CGGATTCATTAGTAAAAGGTGGGAAAAGATGCACGATGATAAAAGAATTACTCAAAGAATCATTTTTTTCGTAATTTATTTATTTATCATTATTGGCATCAATTTAATTTATTAATAATAAGCTATCGTACGATTATAATATTTAATTTAACAAACTATCGTGTGATTATAATATTTAATTTTAACAAATTGAAAAATAACCGGCGTCAACTGATAATCAACGTAAATTGAAAAATGACACATAACACATATATATGTGAAGTCAATTGCATAAATGAATTAGGGGTAAAATTTTGGAGTATTTTACAAATACGCCGTAATGATGTAACGATAGTTTTGGCTCAGTTTATTTTAACAAATAATGGTTTTTTGTGAAAACAAACTGCAAATATTAAGCCATTTTCGCTGAACTACACAGGACAAAACGTACATGTGACTGACAGTGCCCGATCCAAAGTGAATCCCTCTCGCCTGTGATCAATCACAAATTAAATTATTTATGTTGGATTCAATATAATCCCTCACCAGTTTTAATATATGTGTTACATTAACGGTCTCTGCTGTACATGTGACTAAATAACTGACAAGACATGACATGATTTCTATAATCACTGTATATCGATATGCATCGTTTAGTATATACCATATTAAAATATAACTATGTTATTTATTGCACAAAGTTTTTATTTATTTTCATGAACGAAATCTGTTATTAGTCATTGTTCGAGTTGTTTCTTTGGCGAACTGTCTATTTATACTCAAATAAACCATTAAGAATAAGTAAAACAGCCGCATCTATTACTTATAAAGTTTCGTTTATATCTAAAACTTTATTTACTTGAGTTTATATTGCAGCATGCCCGCTTTTTCATTGTCAGTACCTTTTTAGCTATGCTTGTTACATGTACGGCATAACTCGAAAATATCTCTTACAGGCTTATAACCAGAAAAATAAGAATGGGTTAAAAATAATTCAAATATAAGTATACAAAAATATTTTGCTGTCTAATAACAATAATTATTAGAAACGTTAATCAGTTCAACCTGCTTGCATGTTAATTATATGTTTTGCTTACATTAATGTGTACGAACTTACATGTGTTCTGCGTCATTTCACAATTTGTCATTCATAAATTTTGAAATAATATCAGTCAGCCGAGATGTCGGAGAGTTTATATGTTAGATTTGCATACTTATTGATCAAATTAATAGACGTACCTAAATTATATATATAAATTTTATACATTTTTTTTTTATTTTTTAATTTTCTTTGAAGTATAAAGAATCACTAGCAGATTTAAATAAATCATTAGAAATTGATCCAAATGATGCATCTGCATTGAGACAGCGTGGAGAAGCTTATCGCATGATGAATAGATTCATTAGAAATCAGACCAGTATAATTCACGCACGTTGGACAAATACGAAGAATTACTACAGATTTAAATAAATCATTAAAAAACTAATCCAAATGATGCAAACGCACTAAATGAACGTGGATTATCTTATGATGAACAGATATTAAAAATCACTAGCAGATTTAAATGAATTATTAAAAATCAATCATTTGCATTAGCATACCGTTTTATGATGAACAGATACAAGGAATCACTAGCAGATCTAAAGAAATCATTAGAAATTAATTTAAATAATTCTTTTGCATTAACATACCGTGGTGCAACATATTTTAAGATGAATAAATACGAAGAATCACTAGCAGATGTAAATAAATCATTGGAAATTAATTTAAATGATGATTTTGCATTAAAAAATCGTGGTGCAATATATTTTAAGATGAACAAATATGAAGATTCGCTGGCCGATTTAGATAAATTATAGGCATTAAACTGAATAATGCAGACGCATTAAGGGAGCGTGGAACGACTTATCGCATGATGAACGAATACGAAGAATCATTAGAAGATTTAAGGAATTGTAAACAATAGAAACCCGACCAATAAGAATTAGTAATTTTTGTGTTATCTAGGCAAATTTCAATCGACTTAACGATATATGGAGCACGTGTGATCATATGACAAATGATCTACGTTCACTCTAACCTTAAACAATAGAAATTAATGCAAATTACGTATTTACATTAGCAGGTTGTGGAGTAACTTATAGGATGATGAACAGATTCAAAGAATCACTAGCAGGTATAAAATAAATCATTAGAAATGAATCCAATTAATGCAATAATATTAGCAGAGCGTGGAGTAATTTATCGCAAGATGAACAGAAACGAAGAATCACTAGCTAATTTGAACAAATCATTAGAAATTAACTCAAATAATGCAATTATATTAGCAGAGCGTGGTTCAACTTATTGCAGCATTAACAGACATAAAGAATCACTAGCTGATTTAAATAAATCATTAAAAATTACTTCTGGTAACGCATTTGCATTAGCAAGCCGTGGAAAAGTTTTATCGTATGATGGACAGATGAACAATCACTAGCAGATTTAAACAAATCATTAGAAATTAATCCAAATAATGCAGACACGTTAAATGAACGCAGAACAACTAATCGAATGATGAACAGATATAAAGAAACACTAGCAGATTTAAATAAATCATTTGAAATTAATCCAAATAATGCAGACGCATTAAATGAACGCGGAACAACTTATCGAATGATGAACAGATATGAAGAATCATAGCAAATTTGAATAAATTATTTGAGATTAATCCAAATTTTACTGAAGATTTAAATAAATCATTAGACATTAATGATGCATTTGCATTAGAAAATCGTGGAGTAACTTACCTTATGATGGAAAACTACAAAAAATCACTAGCAGTTTTAAATCAATCATTAAAAAATTAATCCTAATAATGCATCCAAATTAGAATTTCACGATATAGCTTTTTACCTGACGAACATACAAAGAGTCACTAACGGATTTAAATAAATCATTAGAAATTAATCCAGATAATGCATTTACATTAGAAAAACTTGCCGCATGATGAACAGATACGAAGAATCGCTAGCCGATTTAAATAAACCATTAGAAATTAATCCAAATAATGCACTTCATTATCAAACCGTGGAGCGACTTATCGCATGATGAATAGATACGAAGATTTTAAAACAACAACTAATCGAATGCAAAGAAATAGGAAGAATCATTCAGAAATCCAAACAATCGTCAGCAATTGTATCAAGAAAGTGCAATACAATATCAGATAAGAGCATGCATTGTGAGTCACCAGCAGATTTAAGCAAAACATTATAAATCGACCCCGACAATGCATTCGTGTTAGAAACTCAGAGAAACTTAACATATAAGTTAATATGCAAATACGATGAATCAATTGCAAAGTTTAAATAGATTATGAAAAAAAAAAATCCAACTATCAAGCAATAGATGCTGGTCACTAAGAACCGGTTCAAATTTTTGTGTGGGGACACAACAGAATCGGCATTGTGTTGCATACAGCTACCATTGAGCCAAAGAATAGATAGACGGTATCAAACGCATTATACGTATCAGTGTTAACCTATGACCTGTTATGACCTATTGGCCAACTATAGGTTATGACCTTTATGACCTGTTATGACTTATAAAATTTACTATTACAACCTTGGTCATATAAAGTTGAATATGACCCAAATGGCCAACACTGCATTATATAGATGCAGATGAACGCAACCTGCAGACGCAGCGTAAATCTTGAGCAAAGTACTAAATATTCTGGTTAACGATCGTCATATAAACTTTGGAACCCGATCGTCACCAGAATTATTAACGTGCATAGAGACAAGCCCAAGTCGATATCGACATGCGTACGTATCAACGTCGAAAGAAATATATATATATACACATGAACACAGATAATCCGACAAAACAGCAGGATTCTTATTATCTTTGGAAGCCAGGCAGAATCCTGCCATTTGTCGTATCTTTAAGCTTAATATCAAGTCGGCCTGCTTTATGCAGTGCGGGAAACCACCGACTAATGCTACACATCACAAATTTCTGCTGATGACGGTGATACCCGGCGCAATTATAGTTGTATCTCTGGGTGTATATCCCGTCTCAGTTTGTACATCAATCGCACCGATGTACGCTGCATATTCTCAATAAATAATCATTTAATAAAGTTTAACATCTGGAACTGTTGGCCAGATGCTTGCCTCTAACTAATGATTAATATATCACGTGCGTGCATTACTTTTCATTTATGAATAACAGAAATTTGGTTCAACCGGGCAAATGAACACGTGCCGCGAAACGGCACGTGTCAGCCAATCATTTGCCCTGTTGAGCCAAATTTCTGTTATTCATAAATTTGCCGAATAATGGTGTTATCCGACAATTTATGATCATGATTGGTAGGGAGTTGTCAGCTGAGTTTAATTCGAGTAAACATGAATATTTCGTAACACATGAAAAAAATAACAGACAGAAATAAGTTCATGATCATAAGAGTTTGTCAGATAAAATAATTTCTCCGGTAAAATTGAATTGTAAGATTTGATTTTATTGGTCAATAGCTTGCCTTAACTATTAATCCGCTTATGAATCGCTTATGAAACCGTTCATGAAACGCATAATAATTATAAATCATCATAGTATTTAATTGGCCAATTACTTTTCTTAGCAGTAAATTGCTTATGAAACTGAGCATAATATTTATAAATTATTTATAAATCATTAATAAACATTACATATATCACCTAATTCTAATAATCACAACATTTTCACTCATATGTAATATAGTACGAATTGTCAATAATGTTTTTTTTTGAGAGTTAAAAAATAAATAATAAATTTTATCCCCAAACATTTACATTTGACAAACGTTTCGTAACGGTAACGGTAATGTTAATCAGTTCAGCAATTTCTGGAATGAGAAACATAATAAAAAAAATAAATAAACAAGTATTAAAGAACTATAACACAAACTTATTGGCCTATTTAGTCTCATCCGATAGTTTAGATAATACAATATAAACAGAATTTACCTTTTTTTAAAAAATAAAACCCCATGAAAATGGCAATGAAGCAAATAATTTTTGCTATATTATTTGGAGTTATTCTTCTGACAATTTCGGTCTCATCAACCCCTCTTAGAAAGGAAGATACACTTTTTTTTGATTGGACAATCAAAACACATAAATGTGATCTTGATAAATGTGGTGAACGGCCAGTTATACTTGTATATCCTACCTACGATAAAAACAATAAAGAGAACACGCCTAAATGCATTAAATTTCCTGCGCCAACTATTAAAGCGAGACCAGGACAACATATTCAAGTTTTAATAAGAAATAAACTTGATGAACTGACTGCAATCCATTGGCATGGACTTCTTATAAGGAATACAATTTTTTCAGACGGTGTTCCAGCCGTAACTCAGTGTCCAATTCAGCCTGGGACTTCATTTTTATATGATTTTTATGCAAATGATCATTCTGGTACTCATTGGTAGTAAGTAGACATTTTAAAGTTTATTACATATTTATATAATAACAGAAATAATGGGAATATAATTTAAGGGTAGGGGGTATGTAGATCATTTTGTCATATGATTTTGTGGTACAACGTGATTTTTATAAGAAAATAGATATATGCTACTAATAAAACTTTTTACTATCACAATTAATTTTCACCAAATTTTTATAATATATAGTTTAGAATATGATTTTTATAGTAGTAAAAGTTTTAATAAATAAAATATTTAAAAAAATTATACTTGTATATATTATAAAGTTTGCTAGGGTGACTTCAAATTTACTAGGGTTACACTAAATCGGTGTTTTTAATTGGTTCATATCATATGATCATCATATAAGTAAAAATAATACTCAATCTTTAAAACATATTTCTCATTAAATATTTAATCAATTTTAATGATTTTACTATCATTAGAATCAGAAAATTCTATTCTACAAACTTTACTTAATACACTAAAACAATTAGCTTATAAAATATTTTTAAATATTAAATATAAAAAAATATACCAACAAGATCATATAAAAAATGGTCTATGTACCTCCTACCCTTAAATACAGAAAAAATTTGTTGCTGAATATTAGGCATTTTATACATTATTAATGGCTTAGTGCAATCTTCACATAAATGCGACTATATCAAAGTTGGCAACAGATTTAATATGAGCATTTAAAGTGGTCAACAATATGAAAGTGTTATTTAACTATGTTAATTATACTGAAATGGATGATGCTGAAATTTGTAGATTCAACTAATCAGGTTTCTGAAAGGAAACCATTCTGAAATGTTCTGAATTAGATTCGAGTAATTTTTGCATGCCTTTATATTTTGATTATATAATAATAATAATAATTATTATTTTAAATGAAAAATCATTTTTTGTTTATGATAAAGTAAATTATTTTTGTAACAAAAGGATAGTGTAAAACAAAAAATTAACTTGGTGTAACATTGAAGATCAATTAAAATAATTTATTCATTTTCATAGCTATTTACTATAGAGGTAGAAACAACAATTATACAATGGAAAATTTCTTCTATCAGAGTTAATTTCACTCATAGCTTTACATGGAAGCAAAATTAATTTTAATAAAAAACACTAAAATTATTTTTCTTCATTACCAGTATTATACACTTAGATAATTACTTAACGGGTATATTATATATCAATAATAAAATCAGTATAAATGAATGCAATATTTATTTAACTATTTCATTTTTTTTTTTAGGTTTTCCATTCCTGGTTTTGCGTGATAACATCACACAGTATTTAGTTGAATAATTATTTAACATGATTGCAGTTCTTAGTCAAGGCATAACCAAAAAAGAATGCACATACAATAATCACGCTGTCCAATAGAGTTCGAGATTTTAAACACAGCAACTTGCTTGTAAACTATACACTTCGTACTTTGTACTATGTTTCTGGTATCGGGATTTTATCTTGCCGAGATTTTATCTTGTCGAGATTATGTATATCAGAATTAGCACGGTCAAGATTTATGCTGTCAGGATTTTGGATGTCAGGATTTTGTGGTAGATCCTATTCAAACATATCTCTTATCTAACTTCCAAATTACTTTGCAGATTACCAAATTACTTTGATAGTTTACTAAGTAAGAAGTGAACTTTCTAATCTTTTTTGTGAATTCATATTCGTGACTCAGAATTCAATTTTGTGACAGAAAATCGTCACTTTAATAAAACATCATTACAATTTTTGTTAGTAAAACATTGCAAAAAGTACTTTAAAGTGTATAAATAAGTTACTCGGGCAATTGATTTATATCAGCCAATCAGACAAAAGTTTTGAACATTGTAATGCAAATATACTTTTATAAATAAACTTAATATTAATATCTATAAAACTTGGTCAAAAAATTAACCAGATCTATATAACCAATACTAAACACTAGCCTAATGTGAGTCAACTTTTGAATGTCTTTCCATTGTGTATCTAGTAATAATATGACTATCCAGCTTTAGCATTTTCTACCTAGTTTTAGTATACTCTACCTGGCTTTAACTACATGGCTTTAACTACCTGGCCTTAACTACATGGCTTTAACAGCTACCTGACTTTAGCTACCCGGTCTCAGCTATCTGGCTTTAACTACCTGGCTTTAAGGGCTCCACACCAGCCACTTAGGGTTGATATAAGCCTAGCCTTGTGGCTGTAGCTAATCTAATTCACTGCCACTGTGATTTGATATCACATGACTACCTGGCTTTAGACAACCCCCAAATTAAGAACATAATAATTGTGACAAATTAAAATGAAATTAGATTGAAATGAAATGAGAGATAGTGTAAAATAGACAAGCCACAGAAAAATAAAATTTTTGGGTGCATTTTTTTTAGCATTTTTTAGGGTTAGAATTAGAGTTTAGAAGCAGGTTTTATAATAAACAAGTATAGGTGGAGTAAATAGAAACCTCTCATTTCATTTTAATCCAATTTCATTATGATCTGTGACAATAATTATTTACCATTACATAATACATTTTATTCGCAATAATTATTTCATTTCATTCATATTAATCATTTCATTTATTGTGTAAGTATAAAGAACATTTATTAATTATTGGAATTAAAAACAGCAAAGCAAGTTCACAAATCAAGATATAAATACTTATTTACCATTACTATTATATAATACCCTTCAAATCATTTTATTTGCATTAATTATTCATTTAATGGGTGAGTATAAAGAACATTTATTAGTAATTAAATCAAAAACAAGTTTACAAATCAAAAACCTGATACTTATTTACTATTATTTAATATATTTTAAATTATTTCATTTATATTAATTTAGTCAGTGAGTATCAAAATTATTTACATCCAATATTTAAAATCACATGGCAAATAGAAAATAATAAAATTTAATATATAATAATAATAAAGCTTATTTAGATTTAAAAAAATGCATATTGTAATAAAGATAATATGAACATAGCATAGTGTATATCATATAATCCCAATATAGCAACATAGTGAACAGGTGAAAATAAAAATATTGATAATTGTATAAAGACATTTCAATTTATAACCATTATATATAAAAGTGTGACTAAGTAGATTTCATTAGACAAATTATCTAATATTAAAGAAATTGGCAAAGATAGATTTGGATTTATATATAAAGTAACTTGGTTAGATGAAATATAAAAAATTGATAGCAATAATTTTAATTATATAAGAAAATATGCACCATCTAATATCATTTACTTAAGATCTTCTTTAGTCTAAGACAAATAGCAATCAAAATTTTTTTTGATTTTTTAAGCAAATTTTATAAAACTATATAAGAATTGTTATTAACTCATAATTTTATATAATCTCTAAATTTAAAAATCATTTCAACATCTACAACCTTTAATTTATGAACCAAATAAGAACACTACCACATTCAAAATCATACAACTACTTAATCAACTTCAACTTAATATAAATATTTTATACAAATTTATACACTTCAATACCTTTATACAACTATTAAAAAATACTACATACACACAAATTATACCTATCTTTCAAAAAAACAACTATATACAAAAAATATTATATATCTCGAGCAACTTACATCATACAATAACACATCTTTACTCAACTGGTCACATATCTCATCATGATTATAACACATCTCTACAGGTCACAAACCACTATAGTTTACGATACTAGAAAATAAAATTATTACTAATTAACAAACCAGATTAATTAATACTTAACTACAACTATTGAATACAAACACTCTATCCTTTAATACTGATCACTATAAAACTAAAGCTAAACCTTGGCTAATCTCATACAATAATAATAATATAATTTTAGGAAAAGCTAGAAGATATAATTACCAAGATAATTCAATATCAATTACATATTGGCAAATTGAATTTGACTATTCTCATACTAGTCTCTATCTATCACCTACATATATCTGTAAACTATGTACAGGATGTCTATTAAACTCCAACTGAATTAACAATACATACACATTAAATATTTTAACCAATTTATCTAACAAACTCTTATGTAGGAAAACAAACAACAATATTCTCAATAAACTCAATTTGCATGCTAATCTACTAGACTCAATATACTCAATTGCACTATGTAATCCAACTACAATACTAAGACTACTAACTGTTATGATGCAGTATTTAAAATCTTTAAGAACAACCAACCTTCACAAATTCTACAACAAATAGCAATGAATAATACAATATACACACAACTAATATTCTATACAGATGGATCAGTTAGTGATATTACTACTAAACAATGTACAATGTGCATAAGCTGAGTTCAAACAGCTAACAACATTGTATTACACAATTACTCTACTACAATTCAACTCTGGCTCTTTTCTTACAAAGCTGAACTACTTGCAATCCTTTTTGCAATATTTATATACCCACAAAACAGTAATATTACTATTTATACTAACTCACAATCCATAATATCTAAATTTAACAAACTTGCTCAACAACTACCTGGACCAAACAAACAATATTTATATAACTATTGGCCAATTTGGCATATACTACTAAATCTTATCAAATTCTACAGGTTAAAAATTAAACTTCAAAAAATTACAGCATACAGCAATAATACATTCAATGATCTAGCTGACAGTCTAACTAAAAACTGAAATTACACAACTAATCTCGAATTCTTACACAGCAATATTTACAATCTATCATATTACTTATAATATTCAACCTATGTATTTGAGCAACCAACTCGTAAGGGGGCTTTTAGAAATTACATAATTTTTGGGTAGGTGGGTGGAGTCCCCAAAATATCAGGTTATAATTCTGATCAAAATTTTATAATTTTTGCTAAAAGTATAAAATAATTCTGGCTAAAAATATAACATTATAAAGTTATTAATAATTTTGGATCTACTGAACCAATTAATATGATTTAACTACCAAAATTATTACATTAATAAGATGATTCTAACAAGACTAA